TTCTGAGAAAACCAGCACTGTTGGTTTTTGAGGGACAGAAGTTCTTGGTCTCTGAGAGCATATGAAGAATTCTTGTTCTCCTGAATCCTTCTGAAAATAATTCTGTCTTACACTTTCTTAATTGTTTAAAAAGCACAGTTTTTATCATGCCAAGTATTTTGTAAATGACTAGACAACAAAGAGGATAACCTATTTTCTATCTGCCATGCCACAGTTTCTAGCAGGTTTCTGGGTTATTCATATCTTGTTGATCATATTAGTTTACCAGTTACCCTATATTGACATGCCCTGGTAACAAGAAACTCTCAAAAAGAGAAGTAGTTTGGAGGAACAGGAAATATAAAAGGTCAACCACAAACCATTCTGATTTCAGCATGATATGATTTAGCATAACCCAAACATCGAAAGCTATTATTGGAAACATGGAAGATTTACGTCATGGTGGCTCACCAGATACACAAGGCTGGAGCAATATTGCTGTGTAGAGACAACCCTTACCTTTAAGAACAAATTTCAGTGGACACAGTGAATTTGTGAATTGATAGGCAACATGGATCCTTTGCAAAATAAACAAGCTCAAATCCTTGTGTTTTATTTCTAAATAGTCACACTGCTGCTTTTTTACTCTCTACTTCAGCAGCTCAACTATGGCTGCGGCCTGTACCCTAAATCCCTTGCCCTTGGCAGGTGTCTTGCTTTTGGCTCACTGGTGACTGATATGGGTGTGAGCCTGAATTGTGTTTTAGAAAGCAACATCTCCGTAAGACCAGTAGAAATACTGCTGTCAGTGGAAAATTTAGAATGGCAAATGATAGCATCAGCAGAGAAGGATAAATATAAACAATATATTAATATCACTGTCAGGCAGAGATCATCTCAGGACTATGGAGAGGCTGGGTTTTTTTGTTGTTTGTTTTGCTTGAGGAATTTATTGTGGCTTGCTCTATTTCCTTTGGTTCATTCTGCCTCTCTCTTTCTGACCCCCTTTTAGCAAGGACAATAGGCCTGAGTGTGAAGTTAAGAGAATGGAAGAGAAGATAGACAATGGAATACAAATTTCAAAGTAGTAAGTAGACAAGTGACTATCCAGTCACTGGGTTACAAATGCCAGAACTGAATATTGATCTAAATAAATGATCAATGCAGTCATTGGGTAAGGAGCTTTCATGCAAATTGATTAGAAATAGTAGAGGAGACTTAGGAGCAGGACTTTGGAATGCCAGGGACAGTATTTTTTGTGTATACATTTATACCTGGTTTTTAATACAGAACTACTTTTCTTTCTTGTTAGGGAACAGCATTCTGTCAGCAAAATTAAGCCCCAGAATTAAACTTCTTCAAAGAAGGAAAGCCAAAATGAAATCATTTTTAAGGGTATAAATAAAATAGATCCACGCATTTCCTGACAGCCTGAATGAGAAGGTCCATATTTATCTCAGTAAGCTTTCAGCGTTAGACTCTAGGAGCCAAAGTGACAGTTTTGGACTCAGCCAGACAGTGAGCCTTATATATAAAGACTCAAAATAGATTTCCCTTGCCCCTAGTCCTGCCAAAGAGCCATTTTAGGTGTGCAGGAAGGTGCTGAGCACACTAATGCATAGTGTCCTTATGCTGAGTGGGAGCAATGAATGGCTTTGCCTCACCTGACTTTTCTTGATTGGAATTTAGATCCCCAAAGAATCTGAAAGGTAATATGGTATTTCTTGTGATTTCATAGCAGATGTGCTTTTTGGCATTTTTTCTTTTTTATGCATAGAATCATTGAAAACTGAGATGAAAATGCCAAATGTCTGCATTCATATAATGGAAATAATCGAGCTGTGGGCAATCATCTATGCTTTTGATCATTCTGGGATTAGAGGAATTCCTTACACTTATGGAATTCAACTGTGTCAAAAGATGAAGAATAAAAAAATGAATTTAAGTAAAATGAGAACTTGTATCCTAAATTTGAACAGAACTCAAGGCCAACTTTTTGTAATAATATTCTGACTGGGCTTTGTAACTATGCTCTTTTACAGCCTCTTCTTTTTCTTCTATCTTCTTCCCCGTCTTCTTTCTCATTGGACTCAATTAAAAACACACATGCAGAACATCTAAAGGCCACGTATAGGCTTTAGATATGGTGCCGGGTTCTAGACAGAGCAAAATGGGAGAGGATATGGGCCCTTTTCTTTTTGAACTTACACATTAAAATCATATATAAGGAGTATGTGCATTGAATGGTATATAGTCAGCTCTCCATATTCGTGGATAAAAAGCATGTGGAAAAACCACAGCAAAAAATAATACAACAGTAAGAAATAATACAAATAAAAAAACAATACAATATAACAACTATTTGCATAGCATTTGTATTGTGTTAGGTATTATAAATAGTAATCTAGAGATGACTTAAGGTATAAGGAAGGATGTGTGTAGGTTATATACAAATACTACTTCATATTGTATCAGGGACTTGAGCATTCGAGGACTTTGGTATCCATGGAGGTCTTGGAGCCAATCCCCCACAGATACCAAGGAACGACAGTATTAATTCATACAGGCATAGAATGAAGTAGAGAGAATTTAGATTCCATGTTTGGGGAAGAGGAAAATGGGATTTGAAAAATCTCTTCAAATAGTGAGAGACAAGTCTGTAAAGGAGATGGGATAACTGGACAAACAGAGAATGAAACTAAAATGCCTGAGAAAAGCAAGAGTGGTAGGTAGGGTAGTAGGAGGAGAAAAGAGCTACAAGGTGGTAGTTTAGGGTTGTTTGAATCAGGATGTTTTGAATGCGAGGTAGGCCTGATCCTTAATGTAGTAAGTAAGTAGCTATTGTAGACTCTCAGGAAAGGAAATGGCATTAATGAAATCTATGAGTGAAAAACAAATTTTGTGTGTAAGCGTTTTTACTTTACTTTCCATCTCCAACCTGGGAACTTCAGCAGGGAGGAAGTTGTAACAAATGATCTAAGAAATAATCCAGTGGGGAAGGTTTAGAAGAGAAAACATTTGGCAACAAAAGACCTGGAGTGGGTGACAGGGATACATTATAATTACTGCAAGGTGTCTGGCTTGGGAGGTCAGAGTTACTTTGATGTTGCTCTTTGAAGAGGCTGGGCTTAGGGAAGGGTGTAAGGAAGAGAGGCAGCTCTAGCTTAAGTGGGTTGAATGTGAGGAAGTCTAAGGCACCGAATAAGGAATCTCTACACAGGATTCACATGAGGGGTAAAAATTTGTGATGAGCGAGGTATTTATACTTTTTCCTTTCCAACCCAGCCTGGACCTAAATTGAAGTGACAGATGAGTGTGTTTAGATTTGTTTGTTTGCTGTGCTGTTCCCCTCCCCCTGCAACTCCCCCCTTCTAAGCATGTGATAATTTAAATGCCTCTTCCTCTTCCTCTTCTTCCTCTTCCTCTTCCTCTTCTTCTTCTTCTTCTTTTTTCTCTGTTGCCTGGGCTGGAATGCAGTGGTGCCATCTCGGCTCACTGCAACCTCCGCCTCCCAGGTTCAAGCGACTCTCCTGCCTCAGCCTCCTGAGTAACTGGGATTACAGGCATGCACCACCACTCCCGGCTAATTTTTTTTTTTTTTAATATTTTCAATAGAGACAGGGTTTCACCGTATTGGCCAGGCTGGTCTCGAACTCCTGACCTTGTGATCCCCCTGCTTTGGCCCCACAAAGTGCTGGGATTACAGGCGTGAGCTACTGTGCCCAGGATTGAATGCTTCTTTCAGCATGCCCTTGTATTTTTTTTTGAACTTATTCTGGCTCATTAAGAGGATCACAATTTCCCACTGTGAAATTATTTGGAGGTTGAGGTATCTCATTTGAGCAAGAAATGCTTCCTGAATGTGAGTAGGAACTCTGAGTCCTAAAATGTGATATGGAATCATCTATACCTCTTAGAGTGTATGTGTGTGTGTGTGTGCACATGCACACAGCATATACAACTGTAGTTAGTTGTGTATAAGTTCCTACGTTAGGGCTTATGTATTTTGGGTGTCTCATCTTTCTTTGGAAATAGGGAGTATATTTTCTACTTCATTTATGTCCCTTATAGAGCATGGTATATATAGTATACTGTAGACTGCATAAATTTGAGTGTCTCAGGAATTTAAAATTATTGGCTGATCTACAGGGAAATGCAAATCAAAACCACAATGCGATACTACCTTACTCCTGCAAGTATGGTAGCAATCAAAACATCAAAAAACAGTACATGTTGGCATGGATGTGGTGATCAGGGAACACTTCTACACTGCTGGTGGGAAAGTAAACTGGTACAGCCACTATGGAAAACAGTGTGGAAATTCCTTAAAGAGCTAAAAGTAGAACTATCATTTGATCCAGCAATCCCACTACTGGGTATCTACCCAGAGGAAAAGAAGTCATTATACGAAAAAGATACTTGCACACGCATATTTATAGCAGCACACTTCACAATTGCAAAATCGTGGAACCAACCCAAATGCCCATCAATCAACCAGTGGATAAAGAAACTTTTATATATATATATATATATGCATGTATATATATGCACATATATAGACACACATATGTATACACACATATATACACGGATATATATACACACATATACATATATATCCATATATACACATATATATGTATATACATATATATGCATATATGTACACACACACATATATATGATGGACTACTACTCAGTCATATAAAGGAATGAATTAACGGGATTTGCAGTGACATGGATGAGCTCAGAGACTATTATTCTTTTTTTTTTGTTTTTTTGAGATGGAGTCTTGCTCTGTTGCCCAGGCTGGAGTGCAGTGGCAAGATCTCGGCTCATTGCAAGCCCCACCTCCCGGGTTCACACCATTCTCCTGCCTCAGCCTCCCAAGTAGCTGGGACTACAGGCGCCCGCCACCACGCCCGACTAATTTTTTTGTATTTTTAGTAGAGACGGGGTTTCACCGTGTTAGCCAGGATGATCTCCATCTCCTGACCCACACTGAATATCTTAGAGATTGTTTTCCTCTGTTCTCCCAGACCTATGACATGGAGCACACTTTCTACAGCAATGGAGAGAAGAAGAAGATTTACATGGAAATTGATCCTGTGACCAGAACTGAAATATTCAGAAGCGGAAATGGCACTGATGAAACATTGGAAGTACATGACTTTAAAAACGTAAGTTGGATGTTTTCCCCCTAAGGCTTTCCACTTAAAATATTAGAGCAGTTGAGTCAAGTTAAAAATAGCCTCCATCTAAAATTTGAATTCAAATGGAAACCTAGAGGAGGCTAGCATTCCATTATGAATTCAAATTTTGCTAGTCTGGTACCCCAACAGATCATGGAACTTACTAATAGTGGGTCTTTTGGGAAGCTTTATTGTTGTTTTGTCTGTTTCATAGGGATACACTGGCATCTACTTCGTGGGTCTTCAAAAATGTTTTATCAAAACTCAGATTAAAGTGATTCCTGAATTTTCTGAACCAGAAGAGGAAATAGACGAGGTATGTAAGAAGAATAATTGTGGTGGCAAAAGGCATCATTTATTGGATGCTACCTATGTGCCAAACATTGTACTAAATGCTTCACTTTTCTTTGATTCTCCGACAACCTTATAGATAGGTGCTATTATTATCATCATTTTCAGATCAGGAAACTCGAACTCAGAGCCAAAAAGTGACTTGCTCAAGGTCACACAGCTAGTGAGTAGCAGACTGGGGTCTTGAACTTAGGCCTTTCAAAAAACTGAATTGCATAATTTTAGGTGCAATGCTATACTTTTATACCAGGGCACCCATTAACATTATGTTGATTTTCTCTGAAGCCAAAGATTTCTAGTAAGAGGGATGAGCCAGAGAAACAAAATCTTGCCTCAGATAAAGCATTTTTAAAAAAGAAAGTTCCAAAGCCACCTGGGGTTCTTGCCACTTTTGTCACACTTCAGTATTCACCTATTTTAAAGATTGTGGTTCATTCACCTTACCATTTTATGCTGGGCTGCTAATGGAATAATTCACTTTTATTTTTATTTTTTTGAGACGGAGTCTTGCTGTGTCACCCAGGCTGGAGTGCAGTGGCCAGATCTCAGCTCACTGCAAGCTCCGCCTCCCGGGTTTACGCCATTCTCCTGCCTCAGCCTCCCGAGTAGCTGGGACTACAGGCGCCCGCCACCTCGCCCGGCTAGTTTTTTGTATTTTTTTTTTTTAGTAGAGACGGGGTTTCACCGTGTGAGCCAGGATGGTCTCGACCTCCTGACCTCGTGATCCGCCCACCTTGGCCTCCCAAAGTGCTGGGATTACAGGCTTGAGCCACCGCGTCCTGCCAGAGACTATTATTCTAAGTAAAGTAACTCAAGAATGGAAAACCAAATATTGCATGTTCTCACAGATATGTGGGAGCTAAGCTATGAGGACACAAAGGCATAAGAATGATACAATGGGCTGGGCGCAGTGGCTCACACCTGTAATCCCAGCACTTCGGGAGACCAAGGGGGGCGGATCACCTGAGGTCAGGAGATTGAGACCATCCTGGCTAAGACAGTGAAACCCTGTCTCTACTAAAAATACAAAAAATTAGCCAGGCGTGAGGGCGGGCGCCTGTAGTCCCAGCTACTAGGGAGGCTGAGGCGGGAGAATGGCGTGAACCCGGGAGGCAGAGCTTGCAGTGAGCCCAGATCGTGCCACCGCACTCCAGCCTGGGCGACAGAGCCAGACTCGGTCTCAAGAAAAAAAAAAAAAAGGAATGATATAATGGACTTTGGCGACTTGGGAGAAAGGGTCGGGGTGGGAGGGCAGTGAGGGATAAAAGACCACAAATAGAGTGCAGTGTACTGCTTGGGTGATGGGTGCACCAAAATCTCACAAATCACCATTAAAGAACTTACTCATAAAATCAAATACCTCCTGTACTCCAATAACCTATGGAAAAATAAATAAAAAATAGAAAAAATAAATAAAATTATTGGCTGATCTAAAAAAGCAATGTTAAAAATGGGTAGTCTTATTAAAAAACAATGATAGAAACATCATGAAGTTCATATAACCTCAAAGTAATTTCACATCTTTTACATTTTTCTATTTCAACTATAAATTAGTGCTTGTTATGATAATCAAAGTACTCTAAAACAATCAGATGTCTTCTAAATCATCAATTAAAAATATTTTCAGTAATGTGCATTGTTAGATATATTTTATTGTGCTCTCATTCTGTGAAAATTGGTAATCCAAGTATGGCATATATGCTAATTACCAATTAATGACTGACTAATCGCAACTCAACCTTGGGCAAAGCCATTTTCTATGGATTTCCTCAACTATTAACTGGGAGAAAATGACTCCTGCCCACAGGCATCTTGGTGAAGAATTTATTTGAAAATACTTTTCTGATAGAAAGTTCCAGACAGACATTTTCATGACACAATAACTTTGAAGTTGAGCAATGAAGTATGCTACCTTCAAATGAAACTAGAAGGGGTGACAGATTGGTAGAGCACGAATTTTGAAACTGAAACTGGCTGGGACATCAAGGTTAACGTTACCCTTTAACCTCTTTCTTTCCCCTTTGCCCCCTTTTCCTTTCCCAAGCAAAGTATGGAGTGATTGGGAAGTAGGCCCTTACATTTTCTTTAAGAAAGTGGTATAGTGCTAGTTCCCTGTGATTTGGGAGGGAAAATCTCATTTGATTCCTCACCTCAACAATTTCCTATGATGCCTGTTTCTGCGAGTGGTATTTATGAGTTCTTGTTTTTTAGACAATTGCCTTGGAAATGTATCTAATCAAATACTGATATAAAGAGGAGCCAGATGGGAAGGCTATGGAATGTTGAATTTGTCCTAAGTTGAGTTCCTGTTTATAGGAGGAGAGCCTGAGACCCTTTTTGCTAGTTTAGCTTTCTCCTTTGCTGAGTCTGCACATTTGAAATATTTTAGTGTTAGCCCGCTGTGACACACTGCCTGTCCAGCAGCTTAATTGATACTTAAGCAAGTTCACAATACGTCCTTCATATAATTAAACACTGGGGCTATGCACAAAAGGATATGTTTTTAATGCATCAGTTATGGAGACGTTTTATCATCAGCCCCTTATTTCCACTGTCTTAATACAGCAGAGTAAAATATGATACTTAGGTATCATTATGCTTTGCCCTTTTCTACTTGCAAACCTGTTGGATCCTCTCTGGAAAGGGAGTCTTATGACCTACAGTCAAACAAGCTAGGTCAGATAATTTCCTTATGGCCAGCTTTTACCCAGAAAAGCAGAGGAAAAATCAGAGTGATATTTTTAGGTTTAATGACTGACTTTGGAAAAAAGGGGTTCTGATTTCTATGACACGCCTTGAGGAAGAGGGATTCTAGTTTTTATGGCTATCCTCGGGGGAGAATGGGACTGAGAGACTGGCAGTTAGGGGAAGGTAAGAGAAAAACTTTTGCTTCTGACGCTTTCATTTTGGGGCATTGTTTTCTGAGCCTCAGCATAGTCATCTATGTTTGACAGGTCTGCTCCATTTCAGCTGCTGGGAATATTCTCAGCAAACACTTACCCAGTGTGTTCAGCAGCAATCAGGCTGTTGGTGATAATGTAGAAGTTTATTAGAACATGAAGAGAGGAATTACCTACAAGTAATTCTGGAGAGCTGGCTACCAGGAGCCAAATGCCTCATAGGCAGAAATTCATTGAATAGCATGCATTTATTATATGTTGCCAGCAGTTTAAGCATTTGAGCTCAAACCTCCTATTAGACCCTCCCCAGCATGCGGGCCACCCACCAGTTACAAGGCATGATGACACGACAGATGACCCGTCCTCCTTGGTAGCAGTATGGATATGGGTAGTAACCTAGTAAAGGTTCACAGACGCGGCGGCAGTAGCGGTTGCCTCGACGGCAGTAAATACAACAATAACCTCTCTCATCCAGCATGGGATCAAATTCTATTCCATTTTCAGTCTGAAAGAAGAAGAAGCCAGTGTTGGGGGTGGGAGAGGAAGGTTCACTAGCAAGAGTTCTCACCAAGCAGGGGAGAACTGGAAGACTGTATGAGTTGGGGGCTTGTGAGAAATTAAGCTCCTTAGCCTGATCATGGAGATATATCTACAGAGATTGAGATTGATTTTGAATGAGCCTCCCGGAGATTTCAAGTTGCTTAAACATTTTTTTTTTTTGTTAAAGCCATGATCATCCTCCTTCCAACGATTGTGATCTGAGGGGTAGTAAGTTTTGTGAGGGCTCTTTTTTTCTCCTCTATCAAGAGTTTACATAAACATAACTCACATAGTCATTTATTGGAAGTTCTTCCTCACTTGCTTGTCTGGCGTGACGGGTCTTCTCTACCTTCACTTGAGGGACCACCCACTGTTCATTTTGTTCAATCCCTTTTTTTTCGTTGGCAGGAAAGTGAAGATCTTCTCCATCCTCCTCAAAGTCTTGTAACTCGGAAACTAAGATAATAAATGCAAAGTTGTGATGCAACTGCTTTGCAAATGTTCCTGAAAGAAGTGCTTGGGGGAATAGCAGCTGGGGATAGAGATATTCATTGTGTCTTTAAACTGGCATCATTTAGGCATGGACCACTTTTCCAAGCTCCTTCAGTTGATATTTTAGAGTAGTTTCCAAAACAAGCCTGATCATTTCTACATACACAAACTTCTTTGCTTCTTTGGCATCAAACATTTACTGCTTTGCCTTACCAGCATACTAAATTAAAAACTGAGAACAAGGGACTTCTGTATCTCCTACAGTGATGATTTTACCCATGGTAGATGCTCAATAAATATTTCTTGGTTGCCTGAATTGATTTGACATCCTCTGTCCTCCCACTTTCCTTATGTTTCTTGTCTTAAAATTTTTTTAAAAAAACTTTCTGTTTAGAAGTAATCTTAGATTATGGAAGAGTTGCAGAAATAGTACAGAGTTCACATATTCTTCACCCAGTTTCTCCTAATGTTATCTTACATAACCATGGTACAATGATAAAAAATCAGAAGTTAGCATTGGTGCAATGTTATTAACTAAACTACAGACTTTATTCAGATTTCATTAGTATTTTTACTAATGTTCTTTTTTCTGTTCCAGTATCCAGTCCAGGATACCACACTGCATTTAGTCACCTTTTTTATATCTCTAAAGAGTACCCACAGATGCTTACATTGGTGAGAATAACCTCTCTTGGGTAATAGAGTAATCTATGCTGTGCAGAATGAGGGAGGCCAAATTGCATGTTAGCTAAACAGACTAAGACATCCGGGGGCCTTTACCTTTTCTATGGGCTGACTGGAAGTTGAGGGCTGGACTCTTCTACTCTGGACGTCTAGCCCTCAACTACTTTTATAGTAATTCCTAAAAGAGTGACAAAGAAATTTGTATTGCAGTGATTGTCTTATTTTCTAAGGAAAATGCCACCATTTGACATGGGGAATCCTTCTTGACAGCAGAGTATTGTTTTTGCCCTTCTCTCCTCTATTCTTGGGTTGGACCCACAGTGGTTTGAGCAACGGTCTAGTATAATGACTGCAATGAATATAGATGTGCAAAGAAAGATAGATTAGTTTTTTGCTATCACTAGTCACATTAGGATGGTGTTACCTTTGCTGGGATATTTAAAAGCCTGTCAACATTAACTTTTCTGATTTATAACTTGGCTGTGAAAAATTCCCTCCTCACTGGCAGTCAGCATATATAGACTCATCCAAGAAGGTATAAACCAATCATTTGTTTTCCTAGAAACGTAGCCTGTAAATGCTGGGAATGTTAACCTGTTACTGTCTTAGAAAATAGGAGGAGGATGAGGGTAAGGATGTCATACCTGATATTAGAGTGGGATTGATCCAATACATGGTCACGTTGTCACAAATCTCCAGAATTTTGGAATTTTTAAGAAAATCTCGGTTTTCAATAGGCTTTTCTGCTGGGACCCAAATCACTGACTGTTCAAAAAAAGTTGTGGTAATTTCTTCATTCTGAAAGAAGAAAGTAGCTTAGGGTGGGGATTGGCAGAGAAATTAATAGAACAAGTGAGACATTATGGGATGCTGGAAAACAACATATTTTGAGTGTGAGTAACAATTTTAATCCTAGTGCTGCTGGTGAACTAGCTCTGTGCCTTGCATTCAGTGGGTGTTGGGGGAGTTGACAACTGATCCTTCCTCCATCCTGGGTCTAACAGCAAGGCTGCTTACTAAACTAGGAGCCTTCTCTGTTACCATTTCACTCAAAGTCAGAAAGGCGCTTCATTATTTTCAGCATGTCCTGGGTCTGTGTATGTTTTAACTTGAGCTTCTGGAACCCTGAGTGATTTACATTTGTTTTCTTTTTTATAAATACATTTTGTTAGCCTGCCTTATTTAGGCTTGCATCTTGGGTGGCAAGCAGGATTTGATCTGGAGCTGAAAAAACTCCTATAATCCAAACTCGTGAGATCAATTCAATAACAATGGGATCTAATATTTGGGTTTTACAAGATTTGCCTGTTGATGGTAGCCAGTTATCGTACAAAAGATGTCTTTTTATGTTTTAAAGTGAGGTCTCCAGTTTTTGACTTCACTGGCCTTCCTACTATTGCATTCCTTTCATTGTAGATGCTTAGAGTTTATCTCACAGAGTGTTTTTGCTTTAAGCAGCTTTTTGTATACTGTGAAGGACGCCACTTTCTCTTCAGTTTCTAGTATTGAGGTAATTGTGTTGTATACCTAGTTCTTACTAATTTCTCCCGGAATCATTTACAATTCTAAAGTCTTAGCACCTTTGTCCTTGAGTCTGTAACGACCTTGAGATGCATTGAAAGGAATTGTATAAAATGAGGTTGGTATGCTGACTAGCTTTGTTAGCAAAATCAGGGCTATTTATATACCTGCTCTGCATGTTTAAAATACACATGCCATGGATACAGTGTGGAGGGAAGTACAGAAGAGGGTTTTGTCATTCAGGACCACAAATTTGTCTCATTAAAAAAAAATCTGTGGTGTGTATATAAAAAATAAGATTTACTTGAAGCTACAATATTCTTACTATCATGAAATGAATATTTGTGTTATTTAAAATATTTGGTGAAATTAACTGAAGACTAAATTAGGGCCAAAATGAGACATTATGAGCCTTTTCCTTTATTTTTTATTTGTTTATTTATTTTTTGACACTGAGTCTCGCTCTGTCACCCAGGCTGGAGTGCAGTGGCGCGAACTTGGCTGACTGAAACCTCCACCTCCTGGGTTCAAGCGATCCTCCCACCTCATCCTCTTCAGTAGCTGGGATTACAGGCACGCGCCATCATGCCTGGCTAATTTTGTTTTGTTTTAGTAGAGATGGGTTTTCACCATGTTGACCAGAGTGGTCTCGAACTCCTGACCTCAAGTAATCCCCCTCTTCAGCCTCCCAAAGTGCTGGGATTATAGGTGTGAGCCACCGTGCCCAGCCCCCTTTGCCTTAATCTTTCAGAAAAATAAATCCTATTATATTACTTCAGGTTCTCATTGCTGGCTGGCCTACTCAAATGCTTACATTATTTTCTGAACGTAATTAGCATATGTTATTGTGTATAGTAGCTTTTTAATCCTATTGATTTTCCTTTTATCTTACCTTTGCCTACTGTAGTCATTCCTAATATCCTGAACGTTGATCTATTCCTCAGATGCATCTAACTCATGCTTACTTTAAAAAAAAAAAAAAGTCTCCAAACTCTGTCACTACCATAGACCTTGGGAGCAGAGCATCATCTTTGGGAGAACGTTCTTTGTTTTCTTGGAAATTCTAGTAACAAGGGTCTGTAACTTCTCTGGCTCTGAGGAGACCAGTAGCATGAAAGAGTAAAATGGGAGCCAATGACAGCTCTAAGACTTGGGTAAGGGAAGGAAAAATAGTCCTCCCCACCCACTACCCCCAAATAAAGAAAAAATAAAGGAAAAGAAATGGGTTAGTGAGAATCAAGATGGAGGGAGCTGGGTGGGAGAAAAGTGAAAAAGAACAGGGAGAGAGAGAAGAAAGAAAGAGGTTTTTATAGTTTGTAGAAAGATCACTCTGCCATGGCCGGGCGCGGTGGCTCACGCCTGTAATCCCAGCCTTTGGGAGGCCTAGGCGGGCGGATCACGAGGTCAGGAGATTGAGACCATCCTGGCTATGGTGAAACTCCGTCTCTACTAAAATACAAAAAAAGAAAAGAAAAAGAAATGGCGGTGCCTGTAGTCCCAGCTACTCAGGAGGCTGAGGCAGGAGAATGGCATGAACCCAGGAGGCGGAGCTTGCTGTGAGCTGAGATTGCCCCACTGCACTCCAGCCTGGGTGACAGTGTGAGACTCCGTCTCAAAATAAATAAATAAATAAATAAATAAATAAAGAAGGATCACTCTGACATTGCCATAATTCCACTTTAGATTTTCCAGCTAAGCAGTAAACTAAACCAATGCTTGTTTTTTTCTTGCTATAGTGGGGATATGTTGTCACAATATGACCTTAACTGAGGTCCCCCTTCTCCCACTAATAAAACCATACTGTAATTATAGACAAAATAACAGGAAACAATAAAGAGCCTCAGGGACCTTACAGATAGTTGTATTATAGGCAATAACATCCATCTCCCATTAGGTTTTCAGGGGCCATTCAGTGATTGCACCAGCACCCTAGGTTGCCTTACTTTGGCCTAGCAGGGTGTTTTTAGAGAGTTTGTATCACATTTCAGTGTTCACCTTCTTTGCTTTTGCCTTTCCTAGTGAGGTTAAATGTGAATTATTGGCCGGGCGCCGTGGCTCAAGCCTGTAATCCCAGCACTTTGGGAGGCCGAGACGGGCGGATCACGAGATCAGGAGATCGAGACCATCCTGGCTCACACGGTGAAACCCCGTCTCTACTAAAAAAAAAAAATACAAAAAACTAGCCGGGCGAGGTGGCGGGCGCCTGTAGTCCCAGCTACTCGGGAGGCTGAGGCAGGAGAATGGCGTAAACCCGGGAGGCGGAGCTTGCAGTGAGCTGAGATCTGGCCACTGCACTCCAGCCTGGGTGACACAGCAAGACTCCGTCTCAAAAAAATAAAAATAAAAGTGAATTATTCCATTAGCAGCCCAGCATAAAATGGTAAGGTGAATGAACCACAATCTTTAAAATAGGTGAATACTGAAGTGTGACAAAAGTGGCAAGAACCCCAGGTGGCTTTGGAACTTTCTTTTTTAAAAATGCTTTATCTGAGGCAAGATTTTGTTTCTCTGGCTCATCCCTCTTACTAGAAATCTTTGGCTTCAGAGAAAATCAACATAATGTTAATGGGTGCCCTGGTATAAAAGTATAGCATTGCACCTAAAATTATGCAATTCAGTTTTTTGAAAGGCCTAAGTTCAAGACCCCAGTCTGCTACTCACTAGCTGTGTGACCTTGAGCAAGTCACTTTTTGGCTCTGAGTTCGAGTTTCCTGATCTGAAAATGATGATAATAATAGCACCTATCTATAAGGTTGTCGGAGAATCAAAGAAAAGTGAAGCATTTAGTACAATGTTTGGCACATAGGTAGCATCCAATAAATGATGCCTTTTGCCACCACAATTATTCTTCTTACATACCTCGTCTATTTCCTCTTCTGGTTCAGAAAATTCAGGAATCACTTTAATCTGAGTTTTGATAAAACATTTTTGAAGACCCACGAAGTAGATGCCAGTGTATCCCTATGAAACAGACAAAACAACAATAAAGCTTCCCAAAAGACCCACTATTAGTAAGTTCCATGATCTGTTGGGGTACCAGACTAGCAAAATTTGAATTCATAATGGAATGCTAGCCTCCTCTAGGTTTCCATTTGAATTCAAATTTTAGATGGAGGCTATTTTTAACTTGACTCAACTGCTCTAATATTTTAAGTGGAAAGCCTTAGGGGGAAAACATCCAACTTACGTTTTTAAAGTCATGTACTTCCAATGTTTCATCAGTGCCATTTCCGCTTCTGAATATTTCAGTTCTGGTCACAGGATCAATTTCCATGTAAATCTTCTTCTTCTCTCCATTGCTGTAGAAAGTGTGCTCCATGTCATAGGTCTGGGAGAACAGAGGAAAACAATCTCTAAGATATTCAGTGTGGGTCAGGAGATGGAGATCATCCTGGCTAACACGGTGAAACCCCGTCTCTACTAAAAATACAAAAAAATTAGTCGGGCGTGGTGGCGGGCGCCTGTAGTCCCAGCTACTCGGGAGGCTGAAACAGGAGAATGGCGTGAACCTGGGAGGCGTAGCTTGCAGTGAGCCGAGATCTTGCCACTGCACTCCAGCCTGGGCGACTGAGCAAGACTCCATCTCAAAAAAAAAAAAAAAAAAAAAAAAAGGATACTCAGTGTGTCCCTAAAGTGAGGTGCTTTTTGGTGCTGCAGCTGATACGGAGATCACTTCAGAGCTGGTATTTTGAATTCAAGCCAAGCTGCTGAACTAATTACTAAGAATTCCAACAGTTTTCTTGGCAGCCTTGGCTAAATAGCAAATGATAGTTTGCAAACCAGCCTATAAAGTATTTTCCCCTTGTGTTAAGCTGAGGGATCACCTAAAACCTATGCTGCTTCTTTAAGCTACCACTTCCCTTTCCAAGTGCTAAGTAATCACGCCCCCCAATCCCCCCACACTGCCCCTTCCCTCGCCCATGAAATTCATTAGGTCTGAGAAAGAGATTTGAATACACTTAAAATGGTTACTTGTTGTTTGTCTCCTTATCTATCCAGGGCTTTAATATTGCCACAACAGCCTTGAGTCTATCCTTTTAGAATCTGAAGACTTTCTCCTTGCCAATATTAGTCCTACCCTGCTCTGTTTGCTTCCTTTTGCACCTTAAACTCCAGGAAACATTTATACCTTTCCTTAGTCTTCTCTTTATAGGGCAACCAACCCCACCCAGTTTGTTCCTGGGTTCTGTTTCCCAAGCCATATTCAGTTGTTTTCAAGTTCTGCAGATTCTTTTGTGTATATGGAATTAAGCCAACTGAGCCAAGTGTCCTGCATTAAGTAACGTGGAGCCTCCCAAGAAGAAAGGCTGCTCATCAGGTCTTTCTTGAGTGGCTAAAACAAAACCCCAGATTTTCTCCTGTGCTCTAAAAGAGGCAATTGTATTTCTAAAGACCAAGAGGACCAGTCCCATATGGTACTGCAGTTTAGGAGTAAGCCCTTATCTTATAATTTTAGGGCATATTTATAGGTAGAAGCAAATAAGCGTAAAGGAATTTGTTATCTGTCACAAACCAGGCCAGACCTGATGATGCCTTTTGGAAGTCTATCTTATCTCTGTCATTAGGAGACCTTTGTTTATCAAGTTTCTTCATATTCATTTTTCCTTATGAAAAAAAATTTGGAAAACTAAAAGCCTTAAAAAGCAAGTCTTCAGAGCCCACATTGCTTGCTAATGATACGGTTCCCAGTGGCAGCCTTGTAGAGAACTTACACCAGGTTAGGTCGTTTTTTAGTGTCTGCTGATGCCATTGACTGAATGTTAGTTTAACCTGGTCAAATATTCACCAACTCAACTAGAGAAAAACAAATTGGAACCATTTTTAGAAGCAAGTATTACTTCAAGGGTGGCAAGTCTAATGTAGCTGCTGAAGAGAAAATCAAGAGTCAATGTCATTTACCCCTTGGTAGCTCTACAGTGCCTTGGACATGGTTGGAACCTAAGTATTTGTTGAATAAATTTTCTCCACCAATGGCACATCCTTATCTTCCTAAAGAGAGATTTTTGAGTATTGGCAAGGTCTTTTAAAAAAACCATTTTAAAAGTGAAAGAAAAACAATACTTAGAACTCTCCAGCAACTGCAGAGTTAACTCAGGAAGTCTGGCCTGGTTTGTGATAGTTAGCAAATTCCTTTAGGTTTGTTATTTGCTTCTAGCAATAAATATGTCCTTAGTTCCAGCTCTGCAGCCAGCTTGAGAAGAGAAACGTCTACCTATGGCAACAAATTGAGCTCTCAGTCTGTCTGACTTAAGTAGAGGAGAGAGGCATCCACTTCAGATCCAGTCTTGTCAGCTCTCCCAACGGGGGAATTTTGTTAGAAATACTATCCATTTTTGAGACAAATGTTGATGCCACTAGCCATTGGGGGCTGGGGTGGGGTGTTTATTTCATCAGTAGCACCACTGATGGATTATTGTATGGAAAAATGAGGTTAGAGACTAGGGGATGCTGGAACACTGCCTAACTGGGCGAAAGAAAAAATACAGGCTGTATTTTCAATCACTGGTAGAAGACTATGGAACCTACTGGTGACATTTAGAATTTCAGTGTGTTTCTGTGGAATGAGTTTTCCTGCACTGTTGGCAATGCACTTTACTTGGACACCTTGCTAGATGAAAACTATTGGAAACTGCCAAGCTCAGCAGATCTTGATTATTTTCAACATTCCTGCAAAGAGTTTTTTTTTTGGTAGGAGAGAAGGGGTCCATTCTGATTGTGCTCATTAACTTGTTGACTTTATGTTAGTAATGATAAGTTACTAAATAGAGTGGGAACAGAATGACTTCGTTTATGTGTGACTCCTTGGTAGGGGGTAGGAGTGGGAAGCTATATATTCACCCAGACAGAATTTCACTATCAAGGTGTCCTTTTGGAACAGACCATTCTTCGTCTAGGAAGATGATGCTGGTGGCCCACTTTGGACTGTTTGGAGATGCGTATGAGCAAATCCAGACACACTGTCTCGCCTGGGTCCCTGTGGAGCACATTGCTTGGGTAATGGCTATGCAAGCTTCACTGGCCCATATGAAGACTGAGCTCATGCCTTTGGCATCACAAGTACTTTGCTCTCTACTAAGCTTCCTGGCTCAGGGGTTGAAGGTCTTTCTGGAGATGAAAGAATAAATGGCTTTGTCCTCTCCAGGAGCAAGCTAAAACAGAGACAGGATGACTGGCCTGAAGAGAGGTGTGAGTGGGCTACAAGTAGCTCATCTCAGCTGCCTCCAACTCAGCTTTATTCCAGGAAGGATAAGGCAAGGACAGAATATGATGAGAAGTACACCCCTGCCCCACTGGCAAATAGAGTTAATTTTTGGTGCTTCTAGCTTTCCTTTTCTGTTCTATTTTCCTATTCATTCTATACCCTCATAGCCCTTCCCCCTTCTCTTCCCATCTCTGTCTGTCCCTTTGTCTCCTGTCTAGACATCTAGGAATCTTGTGGTGCTTCAGGTACCTTATGACAAAGAAGAAATCAATCTGACCCATGATTTCACACTTTAGATATTAGTGATGAATGTTTGTCTGTTTAAAAATTTGAGTGCAATACTTCACTCAGAGGAATGAAGTACTAATGGTCGATTTTATTACTTTATTACTTTGCCATTACTTTCAATGGCAAAAACCACAATTACTTTTGCACCAATCTAATAGGCACAGTGGCACGAGGAATGGGAGATATTTGGGGGCAAGGGCATCTTTCCAGCACCACTCAAATGGGCTCTTACTCCACCCACACATAAGGCTGGCCTTAACTATAAGAACCAGAACATTGGAATGGAACAAGGAAGCCAATGGAGTGGAATAGGAATCAGAAGTGAAATGAGACAGATATGTGATTAAGTCCAGGCAGGGAGAGGTGTAAGAAGACCACACTGACAAAACATGTAGAGGACACAACCCATTTTTCTTCCCTGCCCAGGAATTCTGTCTTCAGTCCAGTTAAATCCTCCATTCAGGCAGCAAATGATCCCTAACATCCCTCTTTCACGGTTTTCCCTGTTTTCTTGCCTCTGTGGCAGTCCCTGAGATCAGAAAAGAAAGCTTTTTATAAAAAGTAAAGCTATCTCAGACCTCAGTGTGATGGATCTGTTTTGGGGGCAAGAAGCTTTAGCCTGTCCTGACAGGGATTTGAGGGCATTTGGCTTAGGTTTGTTTTTTGAAGCCTGTGATTAATCTAGCTGCTCTTCACTCCATCTTCATCCCTTACTGTCTGTTTATGAGGTACACTCTCCAAAGGTGAAATACATGCTCAGAATAGCTGGCTAGCAGGTGTTAGGCTGGAAGGAAGGGAAGAGAATGCACTGTACCATATTATTATTAACCTAACTTGGGGGAATTAAAGGGCCTCTGGGTATTTCTTTACCAACACAGAGCAGACAGATTGTTCCTTATGCGAAGTTAGAGTTCTGCATCTTCAATCACCATTTGGCAATATGCATAATATTGGCATAAGCAGTACAGACATTCTTTTTCAACAAGAAAAAGCTACTTCTTTTATCTACAGACTTGAGCTGGCCAGTAATTTTTTCCCCTACCCATTATCCCCATCCCCGATTCTTAAATGCAGCTGAAGAATAGTGGAAAGAATCTTCAGACTAGCCTCTAGTTCTAACATTAACCCCACCACTTACAAGCTGTGTGATTTTGGGCAAGTCACTGAGTGTCTCTAGGGACTCAGTTCCTATTTTAATCCTTCACTCCTTTTCATCTGTAACGTTAGATAGTTAGCAAAGTCTGCCGAGATTTGCTCAGATCAACCTGTCAGGTTGATCATTGGACTACTCCTACTGCTACCATCTGTTGATCATCCAGGCTACTTCCTCTACAGCCCCAATTCCACTCCCAACCACTCCAGAACAGCTGTCTTTGAAGGCCTAGGCTCTTCATCCTGGTGTCATATAAGTTGTTCAGCAAATGCTGCCTTAGGAGAATGAAGAGACTGACTAAGAAGAACATGCCATCACAACCACAGCCTGGCTCCACATAATTGCTGGGAGCTGCCCTTGAGTAGCCCAGAGTAAGAGCTGGTCCAGTGAGAGTTGTACAAGGGTGGCCCTGGGTCTCACCATGCATTAGGAGGAAAATGAAGGGAGGTTTTTTTTTTTTTTTTTTTTTTTACCAATGCCAACATGGCACCATCTGGTAAAGCTCAGTCTCCCTGTCAAAAAATATTCCAGTTACGTCTTCAACTTTTTCCTTGAGGGTATATTAATATTTCTCTAGACCCACATTTCACCCACCAGACTGTGGTGTAGGAAAGCCCAGAGGACCTGGGGAGGAAAGTTGTTTTCCTTGTGTGCCTAGAGAGGAGTGAAAAAAGTTAATATTGGGCTAATGCCCAATTGTGCGTGCCAAGAAATAGGCACGCACAAAAAGTTGCAATCAGACTCATCAAGAAAGTGCTTCTTCTGAGCAAAGGATTTTCAGCCTAGAATGACAGTGGGCTCACAACGCTGTGGGAGACTGTTTTAATGATCACCTGCAAATGAGGTGTGGCAGGAGGGCAGAAAAACGCCCGCTTATCCCTACCACTCCTCATTGCTCTAGTAATATGTAGAAGTTGAAGGAACATCCTCACAAATCTGTTGATTGCTGTGTGGTCCTGATGGCTTTCAAACAACCCTAAAGTCACCAGGCAGCTCCTATGTAAGGCAATAAGGACCATCTTTTATTTATTAAATGTATGATTCTTCTGCCTTACTCCACAAAGGATTGGCAGGGATGGGCTACAAGGTCTGTGCTATGTTTCTAAACTGTTGGTTTAAAGGCTAGGATTTTTCTGATTTGTTTTCTTCATGTTGGATTAATTAGTTGAGGAGTTGGCTTCTGACTGTTTCCAGTAAAATGTGTAATACAGGGGGCTTTAAGCAAGAATGTTTCTTTGGCGATTCTGCTTCAGTGATCCCAGGGCAATCACTGCCTGGAAGGGAAGCCTCATTACGATGCTTTCTCAAAATTGCTGGGACTGAATAGGTCTCTTCTGCTTATTTAAGAAAGCTGAATAGAGAGCTGGATGGACCTGGCTTTCATTTAGCTCAGGTGGCTCCTATATGTGGCTGTGGGTCAGGGGCCTGGGACCTGTAAGAAAATGCAGCAGCTCACCCAGAGTTAGTCATCCTTGTTTCACTTTATTTCAATTTCTTTCTCTCTCTGGTGTGTGTGTGTGTGTCTGTGCGTGTGCACACCTGTGTGCACACACACCTGAGGTGTGTGAGGGGAGGAGGTCAAGCATGGCTTTTTCTCAATTTGGATACAGGAATCTGGATCTTTTGTACACACCAAAGCGGGAGTGAGGAGAAGGACTTACTGGCATGGAAATGTCAACACCAGATGTGGGATGTTAAATAAATACTGTTTATTATACACAGATGTTGAAAGGCAAAATAAAACGGAGGCGTGGTGGAGGCTAGGAGAGCAAACACTAAGAGCTTGGAGGAATTCCCAGGACAGCAAACAAATCACTGCCACCAGTAAGCACAGTTGCATACACAGCTCTCTCTACCAAGGGCCACAGAGTCCCCACAAGTCTCACAGACTTGTTAAGGAAAGCCCAAAGAGACTGGATTTTAATCTGCTAACTCTCGTTTCTTGCTAGGCCATACCATTAAGGAGAGAGTCTTTAATTTGTGTAAGATACCTGGATCCTTTTCCTGTGCAGCTCTTCCAAGACTAACCTGACTGCTAGTCTCTTCCCAGAATTCTTAAGTCTGCTCTAAGGCAGGCTTATTGACAGTCTCAGCCATTGGAAACATAGATGGTCTCCTGAACTCTTTGTCTGGGACTTGAAGGTAGTAGTGGACTAAGTAAAACATCCACATTTCCAGCTGATTTCTTAGTTTTCAATGAACCAAACCTGGTCTTGTGAAGGCCAGGACTTAAATATCAAAGACAATAAATCATAACTCCCCACTGGAACGGAAAACCAACAACATTTGTTCATGGTAGAGAAACTTGCCCTAGGGGACACCTGTTGTCTTTATCTGGATTACTTCATAATAGCTTTGTTCATTTCTGAGAGTCTCTTTGCTGAAAGTGACATCCCAAAATGGATTACTTCAAAAGAGGTTTGATTTTTGATAAACTTTATTCAGCAGCATATCCCACCTCTTCTGTGCATGCACTGACCAAGTTTTACTTTTGGTTTGAGGTATCATAGGATTGCTCCTTATAATCATTAAAAACAGAACTAGAATGAGATGTAAAGGTGACATAATAGAGAAACAGAGGAGACCATGGACCTGCTAGTGAGTTTGACACTTTGCAATATAAATGCAAGGTCTCCACCTAGTCGTTTATAGCTGCACTGAGGCAAATAGCACTACAAGTTTATAAAAACACATACACTCTTTTGGAATAGCATTTGCAGTACCAACGACAACAATAAAACAAGAAAGGCCATCTGGCCCCTTATTTAGGCAAGCCTCTAAGGATGGTCAAAAGGACTAGCTATCCACCATGCCCAGTTAAGTACATTGTGGCTATGGAGAACAAAAGGATTTATGGCCCTTTAACTCGTGTATAATTTTCAAGAGGATCCAAGATTCAACTTGTGGGGTGACATATCACCTTGGGAATTAGCTAAGTGGTACCAGAATTGTATTGGAATGCATTTTGGCACTCTTATTAATTTGCTGTTTTCTTCCTGATCTCTATTGCTTTACCCACCCTGCCGGCCTGAACACAGGTGACTTCTCTAGAAAGACATTTGAACGGTAAGTAGTTCAGAAGCAAGGAGCAGTAAGGGGAGGAGGAGGGGATAGGGCTAACTATAGGCATTGGGTGATGCCTGAAATCCTTTCTGGAACAAGGTATAAATAAAAAGGCAAACAAAGTAGGCTGGCTTGCTCTCCCTCCTACTTAAACCTGATAAGATATCCTTTGGGACTAAATGAAAGTGGGTATGACAGCAGAGGTGGAGAACCCAAGGGTGGTTATGCCTTATATCTCTGTTTTCTCTCAGACACTTAGCCAGCTTATTTTCTACTTTTCCCCCTCTGCCTTTCTCTCCCCACTGACCCATATCTTTATCTCTGCTCCTATTGCTCCTTTGGCTCCTAATGGTCCATGCCAACCCATTTTCTTGTATCATCCTCTTTCCTGGATTTGTGCTTTTTCCTCCCTACACCTGTTACCAAATAGAAATGAGCATCTTATGACAACAAATTAACAACAGTAATAACAATAACTTCAGCAGCAATCCACACACCAACAGAAAAACATGGCAAAGCCAGAAAACTATCTTCACAACTTGTAGTTTGTATATTTGTTGATTATCTTTCAAATGGAAATTGTGAACATGAAGGGATTATGGTTTTATTTGGGACTATGGTTTTATTTATTTATTGTATATCTAAACTTGCCCATTGCATATGAGCCCAGGAGTAACAATAACACTAAGGTACAGAAATACAAACTACAGTGGCTAGCCAAGCTTCACCAAATGACCCCCGTATCAGAAGCTTTCTGAGTTATCTGTGATTAATGACTTGGGGTCGCATGCTTCTACCTTGTGGCATTACTATCTCCGTGGGACAGTGATGATTGCAGCTGGCAAGGAGCTAAAAAGCTCTGTTTTTTTTTTTTTAAGTCATAAATAAATGTGAAGTCAGGTATGAGAATTGCTCCTCCTGAAAAGCAGCTTGCTGCCTGTTCTCACTGCAGATGCATTAAGTCAGAAACATAATCCCTGAAAATCCTTTGCTGCCACTTTGGGTGGTTTCTCCTTATGTGGCGGTCTAATTACTTTTCCATCAGTTTCTGCCCAGATAATTGAAAGAAAGATGGAAAGTATTTTTTTCTTAAAGTAAAAACTTTGCTCCTAGGAGGAGTCTTAACTCCTCAAATACAAGCATTATAGAAGAATGGGTAATTCTACACCCTATCATTACTAACCAAAATACAGAAAACAAGTTTTTTTCCCCTTACCAAAATAATTAGGCAAATGAAGGAGAGAAAAATCTTGATTCAGTTTTTCACACCACCAGAAAATAAACACAAAAGAGACTTCACGATTTTCATTTTCAGAGTAATTTATATGCCTACTAATTAAATTCAATCAAACTCAGAACAGAAGCATCAGATTATGATGTGTATTTACTTACTTTTTTGGGTACCTCCGGCCAGAAGTGCTTGCTCCCCCAAAACAGGACAATTAGAGTTAGGGCCAGGATACCAAACACCAGTCCACAAATCTTAAGTGATTTACATATTTTCTTGGATTTAAAAGCTTCTGCCTAACCAAAGAACAAAGAGAATAAAACAATACATAATAAACCTCAATAAGCAAGCCATAATTCAAAGTCACCTTTGATTCCACTTTCTAATGTTCACTTTGCAATATGATAAATCTGTGAAACCATGCTTCTGCTCAAAAGGGAAAAAATATGAATCAACTTACATTTAGAATGTGACAGTCTTCACAATTCTCTGGAGGATTCTTTGCCATGGTCTCTCAGCACACAGTACTCTTTCCCTGCTTTGAGAGGACTGAGAGACCACTGCTGAGGTGGAGTTGCAAGTGAGTCGGCTAACAGATGCCAGAGGAGAAGCTGAATTTATATGGCTCAAATATGTCATACCAGAGCCTGAGGGAGCCCAGGGGACTCCTGTGCTGCGATTTGTTACATAGATATACCCATATATGTATATAACTTCTGTGCACAGAATTCCATCCAGAATGGCAAAGACAGAAGGTTATAATGAAAACTATTGTCCTGGGGGTTGGGTTGGAAGGGGACCAAACCTAGGACACATTGAAATGATTTTTCACTATGAACTTAAAATATCAGTGGCAATACATGCTGCACACTCCAGAAATAAGCAAACAAAACAAAGAAGGGAACGAAGTCCTATTTTCGATTCCATTTGATTCAGCAAATATTTATTGCAGGGATATTAAATGTCAGGCACTGTGCTTGGTGTTTGAGATTCAGAAATGAAAAGATATTGCCTCCTTCACTAAGTTAAAGCTCTTTAAATGCTGCTATCAATATGTACTTAACTAATTATAATGAAAACAGGATAAAATAAAGACTAATTCTAAGCTCTCTCTCTTCATATTCTGTCTCTGATTTTTCTCCTTTCTTGAGTCCTCTTCCTCAGTGTGCTTTTTAATGTTTACATGCCTTATGGTTCTTTTCTTGATGATCATTCTCACTTTACACAGACTTCTTAGATTATATCATTCATTCCTACAGCTGAAAATATCACCTACATATCAATGATTTCCACATCTGTACCTGTAACCCAGTTCTATCTTTTAATTTCAAGGCCATTTGAACATCTCCACCTGGATAGACCTCAGGAATCTCAAGCTCAACATGTTCTATATCAAAGTCTTCTTTCAACACCTTCTCCTAACCTACTTTTCCCCTCATATTCCCTATCTTAGTTGGTGGCTATATTAGTTTGCTAGGGCTGCCATAACAAAATACCACAGACTGAGTAGCTTAAATGGCAGAAATTTATATTCTTACTGCTCTGGAGGCTAGAAGTCCAAGATCAAGGTGTTATCAGGGTTGGCTTCTTCTGAGGCCTCTCTCCTTGGCTTGTAGATGACCATCTCCACATTCACATGACATGCTCCCTCTATGTATGCCTGTATCCTAATCTCCTTTAATTATAAGAACATCAGTTACATTGGATAAGGGCCCATCCATATGACCTCATTTAACCTTAATTACCTCATTAAAAACCCTATCGCCAAATACAGTCAAATATGGAAATACTGGGGGCTAGGGTATCAACATATGAATTTTGAGGGGACATAACTCAGCTTATAACAGTGGAATTGTCACGCACCCAGTCTTTGAAACCAAAAATCTGAGGTTTTGTCTCTTTTTCACATTCCCTTTATCCAATGAATCACTAGATCCTATCTATTCCAATCAATCACTAGATCCTATCTATTCTAAATTTTTATGTCTCTGAAAGCTGTTCTTTCCTCCCTATGCTCAGTGCTAACACCCCAGTTTAGTTTGTCATCCTTTCTGACAAGTCTCACATCCATACCTTTTACCCAGGCTGTTCTCTTGGAGCTCTACACCCGTATGTCCATCTAACCTGCTAGACATCTCCAATACCCAACAGACACCTCAAATTCCATATGTCCCAAACTGACTTAATTATCTCTCCTTTCAAACATACTCTTTTTTTTTTTTTTTTTGGTATTACCTCTCTCACTAAATGACACAATAATCAGTCTCTAGAATAGAAACCTCCAAATGATCCTTGATTTCTTCCTGTCTTGTTCATCCCCACGGCTAATCAACTATTAAGTCCAGTTAATTCTGCCTCTGAATTAGCTCTGCAGTCCTAGTCTCTCCATTGTCAATCACCACTGTTTAAGTTGGGGTTCTCAGTTACTTTTACTATTGCAATAGAATTCTGTTTTCCTTGTCTCTCATACATTGTCTTCAAGATGATCTTTCTAAGACTCAAATCTGGGATAATCGCTTCCTTGCTTAAAATCCTTTAGTATCTATTCATTGTCTATAAAATCCAAGCCACTTATTGTGACATAGTAGGCATTTAATGATCTGGACTCTGTCCAACTCTCTAGCCTTGATTTTGAACAATTTTTTTCTACAGCGATGGAGCCAACTGGGAGGTCGCAGCTGGGCAGGAAAATGGGGCATGTACATATGACTACCTCCACATCCTAATGTCTCAAGGAAAATAATTTTCTAATTGTTGGAGACATGATTGTGCGTTAAATTGATTACATAAATTATGAAATATGTCACGATTCTATATGTTCTACAATTCTTTGGTCAAGCTTAAAGAGAGAAAAAAGAAAAGCCGCAAGAGCAGTTTCATGGAGAAACTTATGTTTATTGGGTCAGATGGTTCCCCTCAGTGATGTTCTTCACTCTGTGCCTCTGACGCCTGCCTCACACTGTACACCCTATTAATGAACATGCCCTACTTCTTCACACTGTAGGACATTTGCCCATGCTATATTCATTGCCTGGAGTCTTCTGCCTTCCCTTGTTTACCTGGAAAATTCCCATTTGGCTTTCAAAATGCTGCCTAGATGTTATCACCTCCTGAAAGCCTTTCCTGGTCTCATCTCTTCCACTTCGTTAAGTTAATTACCCTTTCCCTTGCTTTACTTTTGTATCTTGCTCATACTTCAACCGTTATACTTTGTATGCTGTATTATAATTCTTTTTTATGTATTCCTCTCCTGAATAGACTTTGAGATCTTTTAAAACATGCCTTTCTTGCTAAAAGGATTGAATTAAACCAAGAGTCAAAGCAATATTCCATGGAAACATAGAGGGAAGAGTGATTAATTCTGATTCAGAAAAGCAGGAAAAATGGCACAAAGGACATGGCATTTCAATAGACTGTTCATCGATTAGCACATATTTATTCAGTGTCCCCTATGTGGCAGGCATTGTTATAGGAGCTAGATATATATTCATTAGTAGACAAGCAAACACAGTTCCTCCTTTATAGAGCTCAGAGTCTAGTTGGGTAGACAGACATTAAACTAAAAGGGAAAAATATCCTGTAAATAAAAGTACATAAATGATGATATATGCTAAGAAGGAAAAGTGCAGGTGCTACAAAGCACCTAATTTGGATTGGGTCGGATGGATGAGGGAAATCCATGCTGAGGAGTTGTCGCTTAAGCTAAGACCTGAATACTGAGTAGAAGTTAGCCGGTAAAGAGTGGGGAAAAGATTATTCCAGGCCAACAGCACATGGAAATATCCTGAAGCAAAAAAGGGGTTGAAGTATTTAGAGAATAAAAGGAAAGTCAGTGTAACTGTAATGTAGTGAATGAGGAGGAGAATTACTTGAGATAAGGCTGAAGAGGTAGGCAGGAGACAGATTCAAAGTTGTTTCTACTAGGACTGTTTTTGGCTGTATGTAATAGAAACCAAGTTATGGCAGTTTAACCAAATAAAGGGTTTATTTTTCTTACATAATGGGAGTTGCAAAGTCAGCAGTCCAGGGCTAGTTCAAGTACAAGGACCCAAGCTTCCATCTTTCTGTTCTGTAATCTTTTGAGCATGGCCCCCATCATCATGCTTCCAAGACAGCTGCTCCACCTCTAGGCAGGATAAAGGGGAGATAGCAAAGGGCAAAAGAACATGTGGCAGTTAAATCTGTCCCTTTCCATTAAGAAAGTAACAGTGTTCCTGGAAGCCCTGTCCTGTAGATTTTTGCTTATCTTATTGGCCAGAACTGGGTTGGATGACTACTTGTACTTACAGTGGGTTCTGGGGAGGTTTTATTTTCAACTGAGCATGTTATTACTCTTAATAATATCTTGTTTCTTTTTTTTAATAGAAGGGGGAAACATATTGAATAGGCAGCTTATAATTTCTGCAACAAAGGTCATGGTAAGTGTTTGAAGTTTATTTATTTATTTAAAATTAGAAATGGGGTCTTGCTATTTTGCCCAGGCCAGAGTCGGCCTAGACTCAAGTGATTCTCCTACTTCAGCCTATCAAGTTGCTGGCATTATAGGCATGTGCCTCTGTACTCGACTGAAGTTATTCTACAAACAACGGGAATTAATTGAAAAGTTCTATGTAGAATTCCTTTTATGTTTATTAAAATCTCTCTGGCTGCCGTGAGAAGAATGAATTGTCAGGGGACAAGAGTTTTAAAAGATTAACCAGTTAGGAGGTAACTGAAGGAGATTATAGTGGCTTGGACTAGGAAGTAGTAGCAGAGATGGAAATAAGTAAACAGATTTGGGACATATTTTAGGTAAAGCATATACTTGGTGATAGATTGAATATATAAATAATGAGAGAAAGGGAAGAACAAAAAATGACATAGATTATAGTTTGTGCCTGTGGGTGGAGAGTGGCACCATTCACTGGAATTAGGAAGCACTAAGGAGGACCAGTCTGGGGTAAGTGATGAGCATAGTTTTGGGCATGTTGAATTTGAATAGTCTATGAAGTATCCGACAGGAGTTGTCTAGTTGGCAGCTGGGCAAACGTGTCTGGAGCTTGGAAAACAGGTGCTTGAATGGAAATATAGATATGGGAGCCATTTGCCTTTGGATGGTATTCAAACCTATGGGAGTCTATAATATGGTTTAGGAAGAGAGTTCAGGACAAAAGGAGAAAAGAGCTCAAGACTGAGCCCCAGGGAATCGTCACATTATTTATTTTGGGTCATACTTTCAGAATGGCTTTCATTTTATAAAAAAGATACACATTCATTATAAAAATAATCGAGAAATATACAAATACAAAAAGAGAAAAAAATCCCTCCAAATCTGCACCAACCAAGAATAGCCATTATTGTGCCTCAATTTTCTTATCTGAAAAACAGGAGGATACAAACAATACTTATACATAAGGTTGTTGTGATAACTTAATGAGGTAATCCATTTAAAGTGCATATTTTTCTGGGCATGGAGTCTTATGCCTGTAATTCCAACACTTTGGAAGGCTGAGGTGGGAGGATTGCTTGAACCTAGGAGTTCGAGACCAGTCTGCATATCATAGGGGGACCTCTGTCTCTACAAAAAATGTTAAAATTAGTTGGGCATGGTGGCATGTGCCTGTGGTTCCAGCTACTTGGGAGGCTGAGTTGGGAGAATCACTTGAGCCCAAGAGGTTGAAGCTTCAGTGGGCCATGATCATGCCAGTGGACTCTAACCTGGGTGACAAAGTGAGACTCTGTCTCAAATAAATAAATAAAATACAAATAAAAAAATAAATAAATGAAGTGCTTACTTTGATAGTGAACACCTAATAACCAGTAGTTGTTTTAAGATTAATGAG